TTTGCATACTAACTAAAACTATAAAGCAGTGCTTATGTTATTTACTTTTTTTAAAATACCATTATTTTCACTGTAAAAAGAAATTACCTAAACTATCGGCCTTTTGAAGCGTTATTCCTGCCGCACAGTCACTTCGCCTCGGCCTTTGAACGGGGAGGTTGTGTCGCTTACGATCAGAATATACATTACGCAACAGTACGACGTAAAATTAAAATGGGAAATAACCGTGATAAAAATAAGAAGCGGCTAGGTTGGCGTTAAGAAACAGGCATAAATATGATAAACCTAATGAAATAAGTGTCTAACGACCTATCTACTTACAGTATCAGTGATTACAAACATGTCGGTACATAGCATATGACGCGCGGCGAAGTGGGGGCGAAATTAGAATTTGAGCTGACTTACTATAGCCCCTTAAGAGTGTCTCGAGAGGCGACAGAAAGAAACCAAAACCAGAGATGGGCAGTAAGCATATTCCTAATAACAACTTACAATAATAAAAAACTGCAATTTACAAACCACCTGCCATTCATAGCAGCTATGGCAATCTACGGGGGAGGCCCATGTTCAGCTGTGGATTAACCACTACAGCCTCTAAATGGGCTGTAATGGAATTGGATAGTTAGGAAGTTGTATTAGTTAAAATGAAACCGACCAAATACCTTATGAACACGATTTCAAAATATCGATATTATCGACCGGCATTCGAGCGCATCACTGCATCACGCCGGGCAACAAGGCGCGCTGCATACGTAATAGAACGCAAAATAAATACATGTTTTGCGAGGCATCGAGTCGGGCGACCGTAAAATTAGTTGTTGGAAAAGTTATGGTTGATTAGATAAGGGCTCATACAGACGAGCGGCAATTTGTTGACGGCAGATACCACTGAAACCGTCGCCACTCGTCTACGGCCGGTAGGGGTAGTGGTAAGCCAGTTTGTTTCACAAACACAGGTTTGAATTTGATAATTAAATAAACCTATTTGAATATGGCTCTGATAAGTCGACTAAGAGAAGGCCCTAGATGGTGGAGAAACGCTTTCTGCCGAGTCATCCGTCTGAAAAGGTATGATTCTATTACTTATTCCTGGCACCAAGCAGCAGTGCGCGTACTGCTGTGTTCAGGTTTGAGGGTAGAGAGCCAGCATATATTTACTATTACAGTCCGTGAGGTACACCTTCTTAGTCTTCAGAGGTGACAACAAATCAGTAACCTACTTTGTTAGAAGTAGGTTGCAGGTGTCCAGTTTGACTGTAACTCCATGACTGTTTAAATACGTGGTAGAGCCACGCTCACGTGCAGAGCCGTGTTACCTCAGATGGTTAGCGCTCGCTGTAAATTTCACAATACGCGAGCAAACCGGGTTCGATTCCCACAGGCACCAATGAAATTGTTAATTGCAATTTTAAGTGCTGATTTTCCACGTGCTTGGCGGTGAAGGAAAACATCGTGAGGAAACCTGCATGTCTGAGAAATAACAAAAAAAATATTTCGAAGACATGTGAAATTCGCCAACACGCGTTGAAACGAAACGCACGAAATGAAAGGAGGCCTGTGCCCAGCAGTGAGACGTATATAGGCTGTAACTTTACTTTTACTTAGAGCCACGCTGCAGATATATTATGGTTGTAGCATGAATGGGTCGGCTCGTCCGGGGAAGGTCCACGCACTCAGAATACCAGCGTAATGGCAGCTGGCTGTAGCTGTGTTTCGTATGGTGACTGTAGAGAACCGGAGATCCCTTTTTACTGAAAACGAGGCATTACATCTTAGTCCTCAGGGGGTAACAACTCATCTACATCTTCATTCCTAATCGAGGGTAAATGTAGATGTGTATGGGACACAGTATTCACTTACCATCAGGTGGACTGTGTGCTCGTTTGTCACCCTTATTCTATAAAAAAAATACGTTTGTTACTTTTGTCCTATTAATAAATAAATAGTGGACTTTTAATGTCTTAATCAAGACGGGGAAATAATCAAGAATAAATAATATTTTTTACCGCAACGAAAGACTTACAAAGAGTTTTCGCTGCAAAATCGATTTTTACACAACCTTCATACGATACAAATCAAAGGAAATCAGTTACGCGTTTTGAAAGGTTATCGTGCAATATTTCACAACGGAATAAATACCAAAACATATACAACATATTTTTATCATTTTTTTAAATAAGGGTGTCAAACGAGCACACAGTCCACCAGATGGTAAGTGGATGCCGTGGCCCATAGACATCTATTCTCGATTAATGATGGAGATGCGTTATTACCCCTGAGGAATGAGATAGAATGCCTCGTTTCCAGTAAAAAGAGTATCCGATTCTCTACACTCACAGTATGAAACACAGCAGCATAAAATGATATATTGCGCTGGTATTCTGCGAGAGTGTGATCCTTCCCCGGTCAAGTAGACCCATTCGTGCTACAACTAATAGTTGGTATATCTATATTAATAATTTAAAAAAAATAGTTTTTTTAGAGTTTAGACGTCTGTGAGTTAAAAATGAATTATAAAATTCTATTACATTCCTTCATTCATTTATCCTATACCTTTAAACGAGCAATTCGTATATATATAATCGGAATCTCGGAAACGGCTCCAACGATTTTGATAAAATTTTGTGTGCAGGGAGTTTCGGGGGCAATAAATCGATCTAGCTAGGATTTATTTTTAAGAAATGTCTTTTTGTCTGTTATTTTAGGCAATGAAAAACTGCTACAATATCGTTAGAAGGTAGTAAGGTAAATTTTGACAGTTTATTATTGATTACAAATAGCTTAATTGGTATATTGGGCGGTCACAAAATCGTAATTCCGTGGTTCGAGCCCAGACCGACCGACCGACTTTTTTTAATTTTTTTTTCAAATTCCTTTCTTTTTTGAAAAAATCTATTTTTTCGAGCCCTTTTATTAGTATTTTTTTAAAAACACGAAAATTTAAATTAAACTAATTGCACTCATGATTTTTTTATTAAAATAACCAGTTCAGTTTTTTCTATTATGTCGCTACGATCAAAAAATATTATTCGTATTTCATCAGTATGTAATTTGTATCTAAATATAATTTCCAAAACGCACGAATTAAAAAATAAACCGAGCTAAAAATACCGAGCAAAGCTCGATCAACCGGGTACTGTATACATAATACATATAGGTTAAGGTAATAAAAGCGTGTTTACAAAAAAATTACTTCCTGTGAGTGCCGAAAAAATATGACAAAAGAAAACCATGAGCATGGTTTTTGGACGATTTATAAATGTTGCAATGCCAATGTTGCTTGGTGTTACCAAGTGGTACACACCAAAAACTATATCACCGGTCTGTGACTTGAGTCTAGTAATCATATTTTACAATCAAGCGTTAATATCTAAAGCCTTCAACACTGCAAGCATTATAAAAATAAAATAATAGAGGTTTGCAGTTACGTGCTCACCACGGATATACTACCGGATAGATTTTTATTAAAGTTTTCTAAGACAGAAAACATCTGGCTGCCGAGATGCAGCATGTCAAGCAAGTGTTGCAAGACAACAAGCTTCGGATCCCGCGCCTACGTCACAGTGACCGAGTGAAGCCGGCCACAGTCGAGCGTGTGCCTGCTGTACTATCATATGTCAGAGGAGTCACAGACAAGGTTGGCTACATCTTGAAGCGTGCTTCCATTAAAACATACTACAAGCCGCCGAAGAAGATTAGTCAATTTTTACCATCCGTCAAGTGTAATATCCCTCTACAAGATGCAGGAGTGAACAAGTTAGATTGTGAATGTGGTCTCTCTTACATAGGTCAAACAAAAAGATCCATAAAAACCCGCGTGAAAGAACATATAGCTGACGTGAAGCACCGACGCTCCGGGAAGTCTCAGTCTGAAATGTTAAGATCTCCCCATTATGATTTATAAACTAAAGAACGTGTAGCGAGGCTATTGAAATTAAAAAACATCCTAATTTAATAGAGAGGTGGTCATCTGCTTGGGATCCTATAATTAACAAAATTAAACCCAAACCCAAGCGTACCACTGCAAGACTTCAAGATACTGTAAGTTCGTTTTGCGTAAATCGGACCAAAAATTAATATTAAAAAACTGAAGGTAGCCGGGCTAACAATGACATTGGGACGTCAAACATCTCAGTCCCCCCCGTGACCATGGTTGCTGTAAAGGACCCGAAACGTCGGGAATTAAAAAAAAAGTAAAATCAGTTAAATAATTGCGATAGAATCCGTAAATTTAGTTTTATTCAATGTGTAGTGTTCGCGTAAATTTAAGAAATCATTAAGTATTCTAAGTTTTATTTCTTAGACACTTGTCCCTTATCAAAAAAAATATTGCGATATTTTAAATTTTTATAAAATTATTAAAGTCTTATGAACGCAAACGAAGTAACAGGTATCAACTAGTAATATATATTATTTGCCACAAGCGATATATTACGTAAAATTTTACTATCATCATCATCATTACAACTCTTCACAAATTCACAGCTCAACAGGCCTCCCTCAAGATACACCGCAAAGCACTTTCCTGAGCCACCCGCATCCATCGACTTTCTGCATGTCTTATCAGGTCATCGCTCCATCTAGTGGGGGGATGCCCTACACTACGCCTACCGGTACGAAGCTGCCACTCGATAACTTTGATTCCCCATCAGTTGTCGGTACATTTTAATTATTATAAAGATATATAATATCAAATACGTCATATTACTTACCAAAAAGTGATAATGCAACGTTGCCGTAACATGTACTACGTACTAGAAGAGACGTCTAGACTTGGTTGCTTGCAAAACGCGTTAGAGCCCGCGGACTCAAACTTACTTAGTCTGGCATAAAAAGGTACTCTATTTCTCCGACCATTTCGCACTGCCGCATAGATTTTGTTTTAGTAAATATTAGTTGAATGTAATGAAACAAAAAAAAATCTCCCAACAATCAAATCAAACGCTTCAGTCTGGCAACATAATCCGTGACACATTGTCTCGATCAATATTGCCAACATACTAAAACGTACTCTCACAAGGCAGTTGTTTATTTTTAAATAGATAATTACAACATACTTTTTGGTTGATCTTGGCATTCTTCGGTGCTTTCACGACGGCGGGTTTAGGTGCTGGCGGCGCCACGACGGGTTCTGTCAACAAACAAAAAATTATTATTTTAGCAATTTCTCAAAAAACGTCTCCCGACTATTTGTTCGTAAACTTGAAATTGTTTGCGCCCTCCTTTCTGGCAAGGAGGGTCGCGTTCGTATACGGCTTAGAGATCTCTAGTCAGATCGTTAAGCCAATTCCTAAAAAGGTTGGGTTTAGTGGGTAAAAGTCACCACATAACCACGCAGCCGGCTGCGTGGTATGCTATGAGCATTCCCAACCTCCCTCCCCCGCTTTCCGGAGGGTTGCCCATATTTGCTTCGGGCGCAAAAAAAATAAAATTCATTAGAATCGTTTGAGATCACATCGCATAGCGTAGTCAGCATTTTGAATGTCACTATTAGACTTTAGACGAATGTACTATTAGGTACTCTATCATAGGTATTCTACGTGGTAGAGCTATGTTGCAAGTATGTAGATGTAGCACGAATAGGTCGGCTCCATCCGGAGAGGACCACGCTCTCTCGCTCTCACGCTCCACGTGTGGTGAGTATAGAGTGCCGAAGATTCTCTTTACTAGTAACGAGGAATTCCATGTGAGTCCTTGGGGGTGAGTATGTACGTAGATTTCTATGGGCTACTGTATCCCCCTACCATCAAGTGGACTGCACGTCACCCTTGTTCTACAAGATGTAGATGCCTATGAGCCACAGCATCCACTTACCGTTAGGTGGACTGTGTGCTGGATTGTCACTCTTTATTGTTTATAAAATATGGAGAACGATCCAACACATATCCACTGCGGAACATAGACATACTCCACAGAAGGCCTCATGGCACGGTCCCGAGCCACCTGCATCCATCGACTTCCTGCATGTCTTACGCGGTCGTCACTTCATCTAGTGGCGGGCCGCCCTACCGCCCTACACGTCGCATACCGGCACGAGGTTGCCACTCGAGCACCTTTGCTTCCCAATCTGTTGTCGATTCTTTGAGCATCTCTTACCAGGTATGGCTAACTAAATATAAAGTTTAAGTTACAGCCTTTAATTCGTTATTTATAATTCTTTATTGCATGTCACAAAGTATACAGTTGGTACAATATATTAACAGAACATGTGACAACCTGTACGGGCGGGCGTAGCATATTAAAGATATTAAGATAGAGTATAATATAAAATATTAAGATTAATATAAGTATAATATAAAATATTAAGATAGAGTTTAAATGTTAATTAATATAGAATTACATTAAATTACATTATTTATAGTGCACAATGTATAGATTATTATAAATGAATTAAAAAATGTCGAACTAACTAATACACACACATTTATATTTAAATTAAATTTCAATAAAAATATTATATGTCAACTATTGATCATTCGTCATTTATATTTAGTAAATAAGGTTTAACATTTCTGATGGAAATCAATTTCAATTTCAGATAAGTAAATAGAAGTAAAAACTTTGTTAAAATAATTAAAATCGATTTATAATTTATTATTAAAATATTCATTCAAATTACAATAGCTTTTATAATAAGCATTTTCTTATGTACTATTTCAAATTTACGACACTGGAGAGCTTTTATGTAAATGGTTGTAAACCCATGTTGCCATGTTGTAGGGACCATTTTTAAATAATGTGAGATGTGTGGCAGGAGTAACCAGATTATAACCACGGTGACGTGAGCCGTATCGACTGGGTTTATCTCCAAATATATACGTCTTTACCATCACCAGTACCAGTCCTAACGTCACCAGTATAAACTTTAACCACTTACCATCAGGTGGACTGTGTGCTCGTTTGTCACTATATCCTATAAAAAGAATCCTTGCTCTACGCATTATACACAATTAAATGGTTGAGTATAGTAACTTTATAGTTACATTCTTTCACCTCGTTTAGGCCACTTAACGTCCAGAACTGGTCCAGAACTGGTCCATGACTGACCATGGGCCTAATCCGTTGAAGAGAGGATTATATTTAATAGTTACGCTCGATAGACGGATAAACGAAATCAGAAACAGACGTTTCACACCTTGGACGTTGCTTCCGGTCTCGGTATTGCGTTTTAATAATATATTTTAACAAAAAAAAAAAACATATTTTATAAAGACTGCCGCATTTTATACAATATGAGTGTACAAGGAAACTCGGAAAGCGAAAATTTGGCATTTGAAATAACATTGCGTAGATTACAAACTTATTATGTTTATTATTTATTGTTTTATTATTATTGAATAAAACTATTTGTACTGATATTATCACGTTTTAACTTAGTTTTAATTCTTGACGTTTTGGGTGCTTTACAACATGGTCACGGGGGGACTGAGATGTTTGAAGTCCCAATGTCATAATTAGTCAAAATTTTTACGTGGTAGAGCCATGCTGCAGTTATATTAGTAGTATAGTTGTAGCATGAATGGGTCGGCTCGACCGGGGAAGGACCACGCTCTCACAGAATACCAGCGTAAAATAGTAGCTTAATGCTGATGTGTTACTTATGGTGAGTGTAGAGAACCGGAGATCCTTTTTACTGGAAACGAGATATTCCATCTTAGTTCTCACGGGTGACAACGCATCTGCATTTTGATTCGTAATCGAGGATAGATGTATATGTCTATGGGCCACAGCAACCACTTACCATCAGGTGGACTGTGTGCTCGTTTGTCACCCTATCCTATAAAAAAAACTACCTTCAGTTTTTAAATATAAATGTTTGTCCCGTATAAAAATGTAAATATAAGAAATCATTACGTATTATCAGCCAGTGTTTGACTATAAACCCACATGGAGGTAAGTAGCGATAAATTTAGGAACGTAAAGTGATACGTAAACGTTTTTTTTTTTTTTGGACTAAGCTTTGTAGGGACGGTGTACCAATATCCACTACCCTATATAGTACAGTGGGCGTCGTGAGGGGTGATGATAAAAACTGAAACAGAAAATGCGCAGCGGCATCGTTTTTGATAATAACTCGATATTATAAAAAGCTGTGGTAGCCCACTCGGCTGTCAAAGCTAAAAAGCTAAACATGGCAAACTAAGGTTATGTTGAATGAGGCAACGTTATATGGGATGAGGCAATGAGGTAGTCTATCAGGGAGGCCTATGTTAAGCAATGGACTTTTGTATTAGATGGATGGAAAAGATACGGTTGTATATACTGAATGACCTTTTTTACCGTCTGGAATAAAATAGGCCGTAACATGTGAACGGAGTAGAAGCCTATGGCACAATGGCGAAGCTAGGGCTCCAAACTAGGGCAAACCCAAGATATGATTTTGTTGTTTTTAGCAGTTTAATAAAAATACACCAATCTTGAGCTTTCTCCGCTCTTTAGTTTCATATTCAGTACTGACAAGGACGTGTTTAACAAAGCACACAGAAAGCCGCTAAATAGATTGTATGACATATGCAATTGCACATCTTCGGTGGTTTTAAAAAAAGAGAGGTTTGGGTTTGCTTAATTACAAAGAATGCAATACATGAAATACAAAAAAGCATGAACAAAGTACAAACAAACTATGTTCGAAGTTAAAAAAGGGACGCCTGGCAGATGTGAAACCTCTAAATTATATTTTGTTTAAGTTATACCTATGCATAAAAGAACAAATTACGACAGGAATTAGATAGTTATAATGAGAAGATAAAGCTTTGCTAATTTTTTACCATAAAATAATGACTATTTATTATAATTATAATTATTCATTTTCAATTCATAATAAACCGTACAAAATGATATTTTTAAACTCATACATCACTATAAATTAGCCGATAGCGTATATACCATCGTGAGAATCAACCAATTTTCGTTCGATAAAATGACTTTACGTATAGAATTAAGTGGATGGCGCCATTAAAATTTTATATACTGAAAAGTAGACAGAGAAACCTAACTGGAAATAACTAAAGGGAGTACTATTCTTTAAAAACCTCAATACATTCTTCTGTATTCTTTTGATTTATTTAATTAAAATTTGGGCTTCACGTTAAAAAAGATTGTAACACTTATTTACTCTAAAATTAAACCTAGGTCTTATACTTTATGCTGCTGTTCAAATTGATATTTTTAATTCGTATGGTAATATAAATATTGAGTTATTAAACCTTTAAATACGTTTAACTTAATTAAACTTTAATACTAAAGAGTCCTGTACCTATATTTAAAGTATGAAGAAATTTTTATTGAATATTAAATTTCCTTTTTAAAGATTTTTACCTTTTCCTCGCCGATTAGCACTTCAACACACTTATATTCATCACAATTAACACTATTATCCTCCCATTTTCACTGAAAATCTTTGAGAAAGCATACATTTTTAACAAACACAACAAAAACAAACATAAACATTGAATTATGAAGTGAACTTGCATACGAGGGGCCCGCAACCACTTTGCTAGTCGCTAACGCACTCCTAAACAACTTCATGGCAAAGCCAGCCTTGTTGGCTCAATAGTAATTGCTATATAAACAATTCGTAGTTATATTTCATCATAGAATATTTTGCCATAAGTTTGAAAGAGAGCGATCGTCTTCTCGAAAGCCCCATAAAAAGCCCACGCGAGCGAGGGAGACAACTAAACGCTCTATTAAAACTCACTTTATGACAGCAGCAGTATCGCCACAGATTACCTTTGTATAAACGTATCGCTAAGGCAATACGAGGTCATCGGTCGACATGTGTCGAACAGTGGAGTGCGCGGGAAAATTGAAATAATTTGAAACAGTTTATGAGTTATTTTATTAGTTGATATTATTGATTGATTCAGTTTTAATAAGGCAAGCCCGGCTTTTCGGCTTTTATGGAAGCCTCGCTACTGCTATGGCACTGAAATTTTTTTTAAACAATTACTTTGCCCTTTGCCCTGGAGCCTGTGACCCTGCGAAGGGACAAGGTCAAATATGCCTACTAAATTTATTGTTTTATTGCCGTTCGTAAAGTAAGGTGAATATGATTTGAATTGTTTTTTTTTTAATTTGATTTGATTTGTGTGATAGATTTTATTTTATTTATTAAATGATTCTAAGGAA